CGTGCTAGAAATCAGGGATATGAATATTAGATTGCTCAGTCCAGTCATACCATGGTGAAGTGTATTCAAGTGCTTTGTGAATCTACAGAGACATTGATTACCTCTGAGAAAGAGGGAAGGAGCAAACACTTGGTACAGTTTAGTGAGGAGGCAGGATCCTGCATTTTACTCATTTCAGTGGGTGTTGAGATATAAATAGAGGAGTTATTCAGGCAGAAAAGGGACATGGGACATTCTAGGCAGATAATGCACGTACACACGGCTTGGAGTTTTAAAGGGAATCATGTTTTGGAGAAGAAAGAATATATCTCAAGAGGGTTAGGGGCATGGGTGAAAGATATCAGGCAGGTCAGTTGTGCCAGATCATGAAGGTCCCACTCACGGGGTAGATTCCTTCTTTGTCAGGAGGGAACTATCAAAGACTTAGGTGTGTCATGGCAAAAAATTAAAAAACCCAGTAATGCAACAAAAACTTGGAGAATAATTTGCAAGGAATGGTGACATGGCTAAAATCACTTCATGTACTCTTCCCTAGGAAGACAAGCTCAGGTCAGGCATAGGTAGTGCCTTCTCACAACCTCTGGTTGCTGCTTGACTCCCTAAGAGCTGGGATGTGAACTAGAAACTCTAGCCTCACCTAGGTTTGAGGTGCCATTTATCCCCCAGCTGGATATGGACAGCACTTTCTTAGGCTTCGTTCCTTATGTGTAGCTTGCTTACCCTTCTCTGGTAGCTGGGGCAGGCAACATAATAACAGAAGTATTCCCAGATGACCACATAATCCTTATATATTTATAATTTCTAGAATAGTACTAGAAGGGACCCTAAAGCTTATCTGTCTGCTTCCTTACCAAACCCAGAAGCCCTTGTGTACACAATGATTTTAACATTGGAAAGAACTTAAGACTCTATCATTTTTCTTTCTTTCTTTTTTTTTTGTGAGACAAAGTCTATGTTGCCCTCAGTAGACTGCCTTGGTGTCACAGCTCACAGCAACCTTGAACTCATTGGCTGAAGTGATTCTCTTGCCTCAGCCTCCCAAGTATCTGGTAATACAGGTGCCCACTATAATGCCTGGTTATTTTTTGTTGGAGTTGTTGTTTAGCTGGCCCGGGGTCAGGTTCAAACCCACCACCCTCGGTGTATGTGGCTGACACGGTAACCACTGTGCTTACCAGCACAGAGCCAACTCTATCATTTTTCTTTCTTTCTTTTTCCTTTTTTTTTTTTAAAGAGACAGTCTCACTTTATTGCCTTAGGTAGAGTGCTGTGGCATCACAGCTCACAGCAGCCTCCAATTCAAGGGCTTAGGCGATTCTTTTGCCTCAGCCTCCCGAGTAGCTGGGACTACAGGTGCCTGCCACAATGCACGGCTATTTTTTTTGTTGTTGCAGTTTGGCCAGGGCTGGGTTCGAACTTGCCACCCTTGGTATATAGGGCCCGGCACCCTACCCACTGAGCCACAGGCGCCTTCCCCAACTCTATCATTTTTCATGCCATTTTTAGTTGCTCTAGGAAATTGAGGTTTAGGAGGGGAAGATGGCTTGTTACATGGAAGGTCATGTGTTACTGACAAATTTAGAAGCTTTTTGTCATTAACCTATACCTGTTTCCTTCTGTGATCTTTAATTGGTTAGAGGATAAAATGACTTATTCTTTTTCATATATATATATATATAT